ATCCAGATCAACACATACAATCAATAAATACATCAATAAATACTCAATACAGCAATAAATAAAAATATAAATAAACTGCAACTAGTTTTACCAACAATAAATACTGAAAAAAATTAAACTTTGACAGGAAACATTTTTTCAGATTAAAAGTCTGCTTTATGAGCACATGATGTTGATTAAACCACACAATGAGCTCACTTCCTGTTGATGCTTCAGAATAAAAGCTTCTGCTTCCTGTACAGGAAGGTTTGTGTAATAAAACAGTTTCATGTTTAAAATTAAACTTTAAAGTTATTCAACTGAACAAATCGTTATTTCTGAACATTTTTAAATCAGTCATAAATTATTATTAAATATTTGATCCTAATAAATAAATAAATTAATCTGATTAAATATAAAAACACCGACAAGGTTCTGATCTGAACCCTGGTCTCAGATCTTCCTCTGTCGGGTCACAAATGTTTTTATTTTCCAGAACCGGAGGGGAGCAGGAGTTCTGGCTGAGTGCGGAACGGGTCCAGACCTGCAGATCAGCCGGCAGATTCCTGGTGGTTCTGTAAACGTCCTGAGGCTGCTGATGCAGTCCTGCTGATCCGCAGAGATACGGCAGCCCGACGTGCCGGGACCCGGACCTGAACATCCAGGAAGCCTCTGAACCGATCCGGAGCAGAGACCGTGACGGGTCGGTTCTGGTGTTCCTCGCTCCATCTTCAGCTTCAGAGAGACGGACCTGATGGCTGGATCCAGTTTCTGAAGAAACAAGTCGTCAACCGTCCTCTTCATCAGAACCTTCAGAACCTTCAGGCCTGGTTCTGACAAGGAGCTGTTTTGTTGAGTCATTCTAAAACGTTAGTTTGTTTCAAAGAAAACAATCTGATCCGGATCCATGAAGATCCTTTGGTTCTGGTCCGATCCAGCACGTGGTCGTCCCCCGGTGGGCGGAGCTTAGCGTGCACCTGCAGCTCCGTAGGAGGGGAGGACTCTGAAGGTCCGGATCAGGTCATGACAGAAGGAGCGCAGCTGCGTCAGCGTTAGGTGGGCCGCCACCTGGACTCTGTAGCTGTCCTTTAGACCAGAGACCAGGTCCAGACTCGGGTTCTGATCCGAACCGTCGCCTTCGAGCTGAGCCACCTCCTTCATCTGAAACACACAGAGAGCTGTTAGCCAATCAGACGACTGGTCACCTGACCAGACATCAGACCGCGTGACGAGGACCTGCACCTTGTTGATGTGGGTCAGCAGGTCCCTGAGGTCCGACCTCAGGTCCTCCAGACCGCTCAGGCTGGTGGACAGAACCTCCAGCAGGTCCTGGTACATCTGAACGCCCGCCAACATGCGACTGACACACATGTCCTGTAGGGGGCGACACACACACACACCATGTTACAACATCACATCACCAGAGACCCCCAGAGACCCCACAGACTGACCAGAACCCCTCAGTCCCAGCAGAAACCTTCTGTCTACCTAAGAAACCTCTCAGAGACCCCCTAAGACCCCCAGAGACCCTCAGACTGACCAGGGTGAAGTGTGCTGACGGCTGCTTGAGGAAGGGGGACGCAGGGACCCCCAGGGACGGTTCCATCAGATGCAGGTTTGACGTCTGAGTGGACGAGTCCAGGCTGAGACCCTGAGGAGGACAGAACGCGGTTAAAACAGACGAAGAAGAGAAAGGAGGCGGAGTCTAGCAGAGCAGCCAATCAGGCGTGTGTACCTGGATGCTGATGGTGGCGCTGTGCGCCGCAGGAAGGATCTTCAGGATCTTCTCCACCAGGGCGTTCGCTCGGACCGCCGTCTCCTGGAACGCTGGCGGGAGGCTGGGGGTGGGCGCTGATTGGACCGAAGATGTAAACAGGAAGTGGCTCAGTAGGAAAACAGCTGGAAACAGGAAATGAGGTTTGGATTAACAGGAAGTACAACTCTTTTCAACAGTTTTAYAAACTCTTGATTTATTTTTGGTTTTTTGGCCCCACCAGGCTTCCATACWGACCCCCTCTCTCTGGGTCCACACCGGGGCTGACCCCCTGCAGGTTTTGTGTCACGTGTCTCAGGTGAGGACCTACCTGCCCAGGTGTCCATGTCTGTCAGGGGGGCGGTGTGTGTCCGTGTCTCGGCTCGTGTCCTCCTCGCAGCTCCGGAAGTTCGCTTTCAGCTTCCATTTGTGTCCGTGAGGAGCTTTTATGCGCGCGCTCAGCTCCGGGGTTTTCCATTGACGCCCCGAGTCAGACCAGAATCCCCAAGTTACGAAGTCTCTGAAAACCAGCCTGCGTCACGAGGAGGAGGAGGTGCGCAGAAGCAGCTGCGCAGTAACCTGACAGGTGAGTCACGTGACAGCACACCTTTCTGCTGAGACTGAAGTAAGAAATGTTTCTGTTTTAACTTTGATGTTTCAGTCAAATCTGAAAATATTCATTTTAGCTTCAAGATAATAGAAATGTATAAATTAGACTTTATTATTTTTGTTTGTGTTTGTTTTTATTGCACAGGTTTGGTTTTTAGGGTTTGTTTGATTTTAACTGAACAAAATTATATTTAGAGAAAAAATTGGGTTAAGATCAGGAAAATGAACCTTTTAGTTAATTAAACCTTTATTTTAGGTTTACATGTTGGAATCAGGTTAAACTTTTCTCAGGTTTACATAAAACAAACTTATTTATTAGGTTTAAGGGAAAAATACTTTTGATTTAGTTAAAAAACAAAGTCCTGATTGATGAACATTTGTCATGGAAATCGTATATAAATCATATAAAAGGTAAAACATCTGAAACAATTTCTGTGATAAATAGGGTAAAGTAAATATTAAATAAAAACATATTCTGTATAACTCACTTATTGTACCATGTATGAAGTATTGTGTGGATGTATGAGGTAATATCTGTAAACATATATACTGTTAGAGTTATTAATGGAGATTTCATACAAACCTGATATTTATAAAGATGAATCTACTGAAGCTTCATGATTTCATTGAGTAAAATATCTTAAAATACATGCAGTGTTGTAGAAAGTACCTCAAAGTGATACTTGAGTAAAAGTACAAGTRTCTTACCATAAAATTACTTTGGTAAAAGTTCAAGTCTCCTCTAAGAATATTACTTGAGTAAAAGTCTTAAAGTATCTAATGTGTTTTGTACTTAAGTATCGAAAATAAATTTCTGACATAAAATGTACTTAAGTATTAAAAGTAAAAGTATTGAGTAACAATGAGTGGCTAGACTTCCCAAAATGACATTTATTGGGAGGCGAGACTTTCAAAAAATGTTTTTCTAAAGGCCAAAATGGCTACAGTGTCATTTAAAAATGTTAATGTTAAAAATTTAGGATGCACTAATCTACCTGCTTCAGCTTATACTGTATATATATGCATATATATATATATATATATATATATATATATGTATGTATGTATATATGTATGAATGTATATATATATATGTATGTATATATGTATGTATATATTTATATATATATATACATATATATATATATATATATATATGTATATATATATATATGTATGAATGCCACAGACATCTTGGTACTAGGCTACATATAGTACTGTATATCTGCTATGTTCTGCTGGAGTGTGATTTGTGTTATTTGCAGCTGTGATGGACTGTGTACAGACTAGTACAGGATCATAATAATATATATTTATACTTCTCATCCAAACACAATTAAATTCACTCTATCCAGGAGGATAATATTTTTAACAACAAACTATAATAAAACAGGAGTAACGACTTTCTACTTCTTACCTTTTTGAAACATGTAATAAGTAGAAACTACAGATAACTCTGTAAAAATGTAACAAGTAGAAGTAAAAAGTASRCTGAAAAATAATTACTCAAGTAAAGTACTGATACCCAAAACTTCTACTTAAGTACAGTAAAGAAGTATTTGYAGTTAGTTACTTTACAACTCTGAATACATGTACAAAACCCGTAAAAATGTGTTCATATCCAAACCAGATTTATGAAAAGGAAAAGTATTTATAATTTAAAAGGTGTTTTGAAAAACATGGATTCAGAAAAGTGTTGATGGATCTCAGTGAATGTTTGTTTTGTGGTTCGGTCTTGATAGTGAGATAAAACTGTCAAAATCCCTTTTTTGTATTTAAAAAAACTTGAAAATTACTATGATGAAGTGTTATAATATTGTCTAAAGAAATGTTTTGTAGTAACTTTGTGTGTTGAGGTATTTTCTTAGTACGCTGACGGTGAACTCTTGAGTTGATGGTTGATTTTATTTTGCAGATATTATAAGTTTATACTTCTTTCTTCTCCTTTTCATTCATGACTTTCTTTTATTTAGTTTTGTTTTCCTTGACAGATTGGTTTTTTATGCATCATTGTTGTTTTTTCTATTGTTTTTTTAATTGGATGACTTGTTTTGTATTCATATTTCAGAACATGATTGAAATAAATAAAGAACCAAGCTTCAGGAGGCTCACTTTACTGAAATACTTTATTGTGAAAGAAACTCTGAGTCAGTAAAACTCAACYTTTGATCATGTGTTTCTGTGACTCCACAAAACAAGAACTGGACTCAGTCTCAGGTTCAGATCCAGGATCAGATCAGTCCACCCTGTGCAGAAATGAGATCCATCAGCAGGTTCTGATCCAACTCCTCATAAGAACTGTTGATCTGAGTGTTTGTTGCTCTGGTTGTTGTGGGTTTATGTTTGTGTTGTGCTCTGAGGTTTGGATCAGGTCAGCTCATGTTTCCTGCAGCTCAGTGATGMAACAGGAAGTGATGTTTGACGGCGCACTCCAGGCTCTCCTGAAGAGAAACATGACGACACCGGTCCAACTGTTCGGGTCAAACAGAACCACGTGAGTCAGAATCACTTTAAACTCATTCAAGTTTGAAATAAAACTTCTTTATTAAATAAAAATGTCATTTTTATAATAAAACATCCTGAGGGATTTAAAAACATTTTAGTTTCATAAGAAACAAACTTTAAAAGATCAGAACCTGAAACACTTTTCTGCAGGTTTTAGTTTAAATTTTTTAAATAAAAAATAATAAAAAAATCAAACAGAACATTGTCTGCATCATAAGTCAGTAAAAAGGTTGTTTTTAAACCAGACAAAATGTCACAATCTGTGGTTTTATGATTAATTTAGTTTAAAGTTTGTTATTGCTGCACTTTCATTTTGATTCAGAATCACAGGTGACACATTGTGTTTGAGGTGTGTGTGTGTGTGTTCTTCCTGTGTGTCATCGTGTGTCGCTCTTTAAGAAATCCTGGAAACCTGGGATCCAGCAGGAAACAGAGTTTTACTTCCTGCTGGAGAAAAGCTGACTCAGCGTTTCTGTTCAACACGTTGTGACGTGTTTCTGTCTTTCACAATCCCATTCTTTTATTTTTCTTACGTCATATTTATTTGCACTAATGTCGGCTCGTCGCGTTTTTTTTCCCATTTGTTCCAACAGATCCGATCAATACGGTCATGTCGGGACAAATCCAGGTTCAAATTACCCACGTTCTCCTGAATCTGCTCATGAAGGTCTGAACCTGGTAACGTCCTGAAGCTGAAGAAATCAGGTTTAATTAGTCCAGACTTGCATTATCCTGACATGATTCAGCAGAAACACAAAGTAAATGAGTCATTTTCAACTAGTCAACTATAAGAGTTTAGAAGACATAATAAATCTCCTCCTCCTCATCATACCACACATTTTCTTAAGTCCAGCCTGTCGCTGCATCTGATCTGATAAAGTGATTTCATCTCTYGTCAGGAATTTTACCCAAAGGCTTTAAAAACAGCAGTCATCAAACCACTGATAAAAAAACAATCTGAACAAATCACTACTGCAGAATTACAGGCCGATGTCCGACCTGCCATTTATCAGCTAAATAATTGAAAAATCAGTGTTTCAACAGTTGAATTGCTTCCTAACAATAACCAACCTCTTTGACGTCTTTCAGTCTGGTTTCTATCACCACAGCACTGAGACAGTCCTCATCAGTGTTCAGTCACATCCATGTTAAAACAGACTGTGGAAGAACCACAGTGCTGGTTCTGTTGGACCTCAGCACAGCATTTGGTACCATCAATCATGACACATTACTGGAACTACTGGAGAGCTGGGTTGACTCTCCACTCCAGTACTCAACTGGTTTGAATCTTACGTAAATAACAGGGATTTTTGTTTCTATAGGTAACTTCTTATTAAAGCGGACAGACGTCACATGTGGGGTACCCCAAGGTTCAATCCTAAGACCCCTCTTATTTAATATCTACATGTTCATGCTAGCTCAGGTYATAACAGGAAATAAGATTAGCTACCATAACTACGCAGATCTACATTACGATGTCACCAGCTGAGTGAACCTATAAACAGATGCTTGGAACAGATAAATGGATGTGCCAAAACTTTCTGCAGCTGAACAGAAACAAAACTGAAGTTATCTTTGGACCTAAAGAGGAACGATATAGTCAACGCACAGCTTCAGCTGCTACAGCTACAACCCCTGGCAAAAAAGTCTGGAATCAGCAGTCTYKGATGAGCACTCAWTCAGACATTTCATCCTGTAAAACAAACTCAGATCAAAAACATGAWACAATAATRAGGTCATTCCAAAGGTCAACTTGTTGTCTTTCAGGAACACTCAAAGAAATGAAGAGAAAACATTGTGGRAGTCAGTGAATGTTACTTTTATTGACCAAGGACAGGGAAAAGATATGGAATCATTCAATTCTGAGGAAAAAAGTATGGAATCATGAAAGGCAGATAAACAAAAGACCATTCAAAATACATCAGTAGTATTTTGTTGAACCATCTTTGTCTTACAGCTGCAGTCTCTGAGGCATGGACTTGATGAGTGACAAACAGTATTCTTCATCAACTCTCTTTGATAGCAGTTACCAGATCAGCTTTGCA